CTTCATATTCAACTTCTGGTATTCCACATTTTAAGTTAATGTTCACTCTGGAACCGGAAGGCCTTTCCAAGCAGACTCCTGTCGCTCTGGAAGAATCTATCACTAACTGGGAAGACTGGTCAGTAATCTCTTTGAGGGAACAGATGATGTATACCTCCCCTCAAAGTCCCTGAACAATGGCTCAAAGAGGAGAAAGCGGGTGAGCAGCACGTTATGTCATACGGAGAGAGCTAGATTTTCTAGAAAACAGTCTTTTGCACACAAGGCAATCACATCATAACTTCTCCCCAGACACCTGAAATGTGCCTGTTTCTACAGACACATAAGTACATATATAACCTAAGAAGCACAATTCATGAAGTAGACGAAGATGAGGGCACAAAGGAAGAACACACTCAGAGAAAGTGCTATATGCTAGAAGCCACCATACCACACAGGCAGAATTTTCAGTGACATCCAACCCAGCCTGCACTTCCAACATCATACCACAACTTCCTGGAGGCAAAAACGGGAGAATGTAGAGAAAAACATGCATTTTAAGTCAGAGGTGACAAGAGTGTGGCCCCAGGATCAGAACCCATGGGTTTGTCTCACTCACATTCCAAAGGCTAGCTCTGGACAGGGGTTAGTTTGCTTCCAAAAGCAATTCAGCTGTCCCCAAAAATCCTCAGAACATTTCACCTACAGCAATGAATTTTCTCACACCTCCCTACATCCCACTTAGGAGCCTGGTGTGGAATGAGCAGTGTATACCGCTGTCACCTCTGCTGCCTTGAAGACACCAGCTGAAGGGTCCCATGGTAAGGGGGCTTCCATGCAGGCTCCACATATTTCAGCTTTGGAAAGGGAGACGTTTTCTACACCGAAGGCTTCTCATCATGCTAGTAGGTTCTGGAAAATTCCAGAAGGTGACTAACATAAAAAGAGTCTTCTACAAAAGTTTTTTAGCCACCCGGGATTTGACTTCTGGATTAATAATTCAATTCTTTTTAAGAAATAAGGGGAAGCAACGGAAAAGGTTATCATAACTATCACCAAATGCATTTTCTAAAATTATTCCATTACATTTTTTAAGGGTATAATTATAAATGTTTTTATGAGCAATTTACCGGAAAATTAAAGTCCCTTAGTTAAAAAAAAAAAATAATTATTCCATCCCTCTGGCAAAGGATTTTATCCCAGACAGTAGCTCTTTCAAACTATGGGGAATCATTTATTCACGGTGGAGAGCCAGGTCCGTGTTAGAAAAGCTGATCTGCGAATCAATCTCTAGATAGGGCTCTAAATTACCAAGCAAGAAGGGCACCTACCAGAAAGTGAATCAGCCAAGACTGAAAGGGGGGCGTGGAGGGGAAGCACTTTGGTTGTGTGGTTCTAGAAGTCCTCGGGGCTTCAAATAAACTATAGGCCTTGTTAACTGATTTTAGGTCAATCTAAACTGAGCTTCCAGGGCGTTCAATCTCAACCCAACTGAGCTTTTCAGTGTTAATCCCATCTTCTGGTTTCGATTTTTCCCTTAGGCCGGCCTGCCCTAAAAGCCCTCAACCTACGGCACTGGTGTTCCAAACCAACTGCGTGCCACACAGCCCTGCGAGGATAACTTTAGGGAAGTAAAATATGTAAGCTTCTGGCATGCATATAATAATGAGATTCTGGAAAAGGGTTTTTAACAACAGTTATGTCACAATGCTTATGGCTCCCTGAAGTCTCTGAAAGCCTTGTTAATTTAAAGATTCGCTGTGGGTTTTTCCGCTTCATTCTTACTCCCCATGTTGTCTCTTGCCTTTCTTTATTCCCTTTCATTGTGCTGTGAAGATGGTCCTGACACCACCCATCATTAATACTACCTACAAAACGGGACAGTTTCGGTACAACTGCTACAGATCTCTGCTAGTTTTAAGGACAGGGGGAGGTCCGTCTTTCAGATTACAGTCACGCATCCGGATTTTGGAAGCTTTGGAAGCTCAGGCACTTAAGGGGACGCAGCCCATTCACACGGGGATTCCCAGGAGCTCTGCATTCAGCAACAGCTTCAAGTCCATCTAGGTAATGTCTCCTGAGGTCACCTCAATGTCATGAGAATCCAGACCACAGTTTCTGCGGACTGCACACATTGGCTGGCTGGGAGCTAACCCTGCTACCTCTCTGGAAAGCATCCCCCAAATCCAAAAGCTTCCCACTTCACCCAATGCCAAGAACTCCATTCAATCCTCCTTGAGGTTGAAAATGCTAACTATAAGGTGATGATGTTTGCTTTTCCTTTTGAGTTGTGTGCCTTTATGTTTTAAGTATTAAAAAGGCGTAATCACCTAGTGTGTAGGTTAATTTCTTTCCGATATTGTAATTTATGCAACATTAATACTGGATGCCAGCTTCAATTTTCTTGCTGCTTACACTCTGGGAGCTGGCTTGCATATTCTGCCAACTCCATTACATCATCTGAAAACCCAAACATTTCCCATTTTCAAATCACTCTCATCTACCAGGCATACTTACACATTCTCTCTTTTTCTCGTTAGGTCACACATACAAAAGACTGGTATCCCCGAGGAGCAGACACTACATCCCAGGTTAAAGTCTGCAAATGCACACAATTTCTGGAAGCTATTACTACTGCTGTGTTAGCTAAAGGATGCCTCCATCTCTGACCTTCCTTTTTCCATTCAGACTGTTATATAACCTAGTGCCTGCGTGCAGGATGTGAGTTGAGTGTTTGGGCCTTACCTCTTCTCCCTCCCCCTAGTAAATCTCAGGAGGGATGGATTAGGGGTTGGTTCAAAGAAGAGCGAGGGGAAGCTGTGACCCTGTAGGGGGCAAGGGGATAAAGGTCAACAGGTCAGCTGTGCAAGATGCATCCCACCCCTACTTTGTCCCTCTCCCCTTTCTGCCATTCCTAGGGGGCTGGTGGTACTGAATGCCCAGCGTTATATAATTTGCAAGAACAGCAAGTTACGGATTTGTTAGTCAGTTCTGCAGCCTGCCACCCTGCTCTCTTGCAAGAACACCTTCTGGCAAGAATGACACCTGAAGATGCTAATAACACAAGGAAGGGGGGAGATTGAGACAGAGGGGGGTGGCAGCACAAACCAGAAATTAGTGTGGCTTCTTATATACTATGTCCCCCCCACTTAAAAAAAAAAAAAAACTCAGAAACACATGAAGGGGATTTTCTCCAGTGTTTCTGATTAACCCTGTTACATAACCCGCTCGCATTCCAAATCCACCGTCTCAGGGTCTAAATATACTCTTTGCAGCCAAAAGCTCTCCACACACAAACTCACCCGAGCTGGCGGCAGGACCCGGCCCCCAGCCCTGATCCCCCTCCCTTTACTTCGGCCCTGGATGCACCCCCCTCCCGCTCAAACCGCGGTTCGGCGTGTTCACTCCTGGGAAATCGCCTTTAATTAAATGTTTTTCGTGTGTGTCATCCTGATGGCTTTTACTGTACTCGAATTCCGTGAATGGGAAAGCGCCTGGACAGGGGGTGTGGCTAAGGTGGGGGTGGGGGGGGGAATACTGTAAAACAGCCAGCATATGATCAGCCATATTCCTACCTCCAACTATAATATCGAGAGGAAGGGAGCGGCTCCCGGGCCCCCACTTGCCTCTCCCCAGCCCTCCCCAATCGCCGCCAGAAGCCGAGTGGCAAGAGGAGGGGGCGCGCTGGGCCAGTGCCCAAGGCTGGGCTGGAGATCCTCCCGATCCCCAGCCCCGGGCTGCTCGCGCGAGCCCGCTTCCTTCGGAGTGACAGGCGTGATTTATACATTATTTACAACAGCAATTAAAGCCGCAGCTTCCTCCGGTTCTTTGCAAACTCTAGGCGCAATCAAATAAATAATCTCCCACCCCCTAAGGCACCCCCCCACACACATCAGGTTCCCACACCTTTAAGAAAGACAGTGAGCTTTCCCCAACATTCGACTTTTAACTAGGAAAAACCAAGGAGGGGGCAATGGAGTCCCCCGCCCCCTCCGCACATACTCCAAAATGAAGTGTAAAAATCGCTCAGGGAAGGGGGGGGGGCATTTCTCGCACTATCCAACCAGCATTCAACTCTCGCTGACCATTCCCAGGTTCTTACAGAAACGCTTGAACCTCAGAGAGGGAAGGATTCCCAGGGCAGAAATAAGTTTGGGTGCATTTCGATCTTTCGGTTTCTGCTTGTTTGCTTTTGCAGACGCTCACTCCGAATGCGCGTGGAGCGCCCCACAGCACCGCCGCCCTCCGCGCACTGGCGCGCACACGCCCCCCGCCAGCCTGGGCGCCGGGCTGCGAACCCGGGGTCTCAAACTTGCGGATCTCCCCTCGCCGCGTCCGCCAAACAACTTGGCGAACACCTCGCGCGCCCGCACCCCCATTCCTCCAGCCCTTCCTCCAAATCCCAAACCCACCGCCGTGGTCCAGAGAAGGTGCCCACGTCGCCCCCAGATCCAGAAGCGCCCCCTCTCTACCCTCGGGGTTTCCCAGGTCACTCACAACTCCCGCACCCCCTCAGCTCTGCGGGGGCTGAAAACACACCCGGTCTGGGGCAGCCTGGGCCAAAACTGTCAAGAGGAGAAAAGGTAAAGCCAGAGGAGGGTGGCCATAAACGGATTTTTTTTTCCCCTTCTTAAAAGGACACTGCCGCTTTAAAAGTTTCTTTCCCGGGCCCCCACTCTCCGGTTCTCCGTATTTTGGGGGAGCGTATTTAATTTGGGCTACGCATCTTTCCTCCTCTTCGCAGAAAAATCAAAGCCAGGGGGTGAGCCCGCCGGCTGTCAACCCTCCTGCCGCCTCCCCCGCCCCCCTCTCCTCCTGCAACCCGAGAACGGGCTGCAAAAGTTTGCAACATTTCTGGGGGGCGGAGGGGGGAGGGGAGGGGGGCTCTCCGGGCTCGGGGCGCCGCCGCAGGCTCGCGCGCGGCCCCGGCCCCCGCGCTCCGGGCGCCCGCTCCCGGCCGGCCCCCGCTCCGCTCCCGGGCTCCCGCCGCCCCCTCCCCAACCCCTCTCGCAGCCTCCTACCTCTGCTGGTGCTGGAATAGCTCTGTCTGCGCACCGGGGCGGGCGGCTCGCTCTTGCGGGCGGATTCCTGGTTCAGCGGGGTCTCCCTGGCGCCGGCGGCCGCGTCCGCGCCGCTGCTGCCCGGCTCGCTGGCGGCGGGGTCGGGGGCTGCCGGAGCTGACTCCATGTTTTTTCCCAATGTAGAGATCGCTGGAGATGGCGAGCTCCGAGACTCCCTCTATCTTCTGTTTTCAGAGCAACTCTATGGTACCAAAAAAAAAAAAAAAGGGGGGGGGGGAGAAAGAGACCAGGGAGAGCAGGAGGGAGAGAGCAGGCGGCGGCGGCGGCGGCGGGCGAGCGAGAGCGCGAGGGAGCGCGCGAAGTGTGTCTGGGTGGACGTAAGTGTGCGCCCGCGAGGGGTTGGGAGGCGGGTCTGGCCACAGGCAGCGCTAGCGAGAGCCTCTCCAGCCGGCCCCTACACCCACATTCCCCACCCTCCAGACCCCAGACGGAGAGCCGCCGACTGGCTGCCAATTTTGGGAGGGGGGGAGGGGGGGGGAGAGGGGGCCAGGAGAAGAGAGGCTCCCTTGGGCCGTTCCTCCCCTTTCCCCAGCCCAGGGACAGAAATGAACACCGGCGAGACGATTCCCTGCCTACTTCGGAGACTCTTCTCGGGAACACAACTCGTCCCCATCTGCTGCTTAGCCTGAGATGAGACAGATGCGATTATCCACGTTGGGGAGTCGCAGGTAGCTTTCTGCCAGCCCACCCCAGGACAGAGGAGAAACTGTAAAGGCATTCGAGCTGGGCCGACACCCCCGGGGGGGGGGATGGCGGAACGTGGCGCTTCTTACTTTGGGATGGGACGTCAACGGGTTTCCAGTCTTGGTTTGATACGTCTGTGCCCAAGACGGATTGTGAGTCCAGAATCGCCGTGGAGAGCCAGTTTCTGGTGTGGTTGAAAGAGGTGGCTTTCAGCTCCTTTGCCGTTTCCTCTGAGAAGGATCCAGAAACCACTTGGCGGGGCAGTTTCTACTGAAGAAAACTTTGGCCTGTTTGGTTTGATGACTATCGAAGCTGGTTCAAATAGGCCACACCGCATCTAGTTCCGTGTGGCCGCTAATTGCCAATTCCCGCTGGTAATTTTGCTGTTAAACATACAGTCTCATCCATAAAAGATATACTGGAGAGACATTAGTAATGTCTGCATGATAAAGTCCAGATAATTAGCAGCTGCTAATAAGTCACATAATCATTCTACACCTCCCTTCCATTGAAACACACCCATCACATAGTAGGTGTTTAGTAAAATCCACAGAAAGTAGCGTGGGTAAGTGGAAAACACTCAGGCGGTAGTCGCCTGGCTTCTCTGCCTCCTACTCAATCCACCATTTCCTTTTGCCTGTGGACACTGACGAGATCACTACTTGTTTAAGGTATTTATTTATTTTATTTATTTATTTAGAAAGAGAGAAAGCATGAGCAGGGGAGGAGCAGAGCGAGACTAGCCACAGTGCCAGGACTAGCCCCATGAGGGGCTCAAACTCCCGAACCCCAAAAAAGTGAGGTCATGACCTGAGCAGATACCAGACGCTTAACAGACTGAGCCACCCAGGCACCCGAAATCAGTACATTTTTAACACGCACACATAACCCTTCCTTTCAGAAAGCTCACAAGTTTTGACAATAAACAATATTATTATATACCAGAAGGTGGCATAAATATGTGTATTTAGGGGGTTGGGATGGGAGAGAGAAGGAGGGAACATTTTGCTTTTGCTACCTTCCCGGTTTGGAAAAATGCTTTAAAAAAAATAATAAGGGGCTAAAAACCTAGATAGATAATAGCGTAAGAGGAACCTCCATATGCCAAACTTCACACATGGTTTGTGTTACTGTTACTGATCTTGGTCTGATTTCAAATAAACAGTGCTATTTGCCATGGTCTGCGTGTTAATCAGCAAAACCTGAGTGATGTAAATGAGCTGTGAACCGTTCTGATACCTTAATCCAGTCTCTGCAAGGATCCCTGGCTTTAGCCTGTCTGTTGGCACTTCCTAACAGAGCCATGATTGTGTTCTCCATCCCAAATCAGATGCGTGGGTTTCCCCATACATCAAAGCACAGATTTCCAGAACAGCCTTCACACCATTTACAACTGGTTAGCCTGTTAATAATGTTCTTGATGCAATTGACCTAGCTTGTCACTCTTGACTTTTCTAAGTAAACAAATATATCAAAGTGCACAGTTTAATAAATAAGCAAGTTCCTCTTGCAGAAGTGAATATCTCAAAATATATCCACTGCCCCACATTTATTTTGAAATATTTTTTTATCGACTTTTCACCTTAAATTTCACCAATAATTCTATTGGGGATACAAGTGGCTCAAAAATTATCCCTGACTCCTTTTTACGTACCTGTAGCAACTCATTAACATTTTTCTGGTTAAATCTATTCCCCTGAGTCTTTAGTTGGTTCCCTTGCTGTTCCCCTTTGTCTAAGCTGATATTTGTTCACCTGGAAAGACCTTCCTGAAAATGGCCCTAGTGACCTTAGTCAATTACGATAGAATCCATATTCCCTTCAGTGGTAAATTCCAGCTCCAAAAAGCCATTCCTCCTAACTTTCTGAAACAATTACTGCCTCTGCAATTTAAAACAATTGGGACGAAAGTGCTTTCCCCAAGGGAAAAATAAAAGTGAGTTAGATACATTCTTCGACTGTCAATCATTGTTACTAAAGTGTAAATTACCCGGATTGGGGAAGCATTTGAAACCTGATTAGGTTTTTTTTTTTTTCCTTCCCTCCTGCCCCTCACCTGCCTACTAATTAAGGCTTTCCAATTTTTCAAATATTTGGAAAGATGGAAGCCTTCCTTAGACTCCGCTCATTGACAAAGGGCAATAGTGTTTGCTTAAAATGGTTATTTCACTTTGCACTACTGAGTTCTCTGACAGACTTAGAAATGGCTTAGGAAACCTAGGCTTTGTAGAAGAGATAGGCCAAGTCCATTTTTTGCATCCTCTTCTCTCCCTCCCCAGATTCACCAGGACTCTCCCTACCTCATTGCCAATCCCAGCCTTCCCTCTTGACGGTAACACTAGTTTGCATTCTTTTTTTCCAAGGTAATTACTGGGAACCTCAGCGTTAGCTTGGACTCTCTCTCTCGCCACTGCCCCTACCTAGCTCTCCAAGTATCTTAACATACTTGCCAAGTGCTTTAAATTCTACCTCTGTGACATCTGTCCTTCCTTTTTATAGCCACTGCTCCAGTTCCACACATTATTGCTCACCTAAACCATTGCAATACCCTTCCAAATAACTGGCCTTTAGTCTTCTAACCATTCTAACTCATCCCAGATAACATTGCCAAGTTAATTACCCTGAACTACAGCTCTCATTTCCCACCATGTCACTCCCCGGCTTACAGGACTTTAATGGCTCCCCATTGCCTATCCAATTAAGTACTAACTAGTCGACACGGTATTCAAGGCTCTATGTCACGTATCCGTGCACTCCTGCACCAGGGATGGCACATCAATCTCCTTTTATGAAGGAACTCCTGAGGTTGGTTGGAAAGGTGTGGGCTGTGATTAATTAATGCTGTTTCCCATGGGTGGAGGATCGGGAATGTGACACTCGTGTGGAGTTTTCCAAACTGCCTTACATCCTTACATAATCCCTGCGATCCATGTGTAATCCTCAGACCACGCCACGTGCTGCTTCCCACGCTTCCTCCTGCCTGTAGTGCCGGAGACAGGGACAGTCAGTTGCCTATGCGTCTTCTCCCAAAATGCTCTTCTTGCCTTCTCTGTTTACGGAAACCCCACCTTTCTTTCAAGGCCCATTCTAAAAGGCAGCTCTTCTGTGGAGCCTTCTCTGATTTACCCCAAACCAAATATTGTCTTAGTACTGTTGACCCTTGAACAACGCAGGGGTTAGGGCCACTGACCCACCGTGCGGTCAAAACTCCTTGTATAATTTTTGACTCCCCCAAAACTCTACTAACAGCCTACTGTTGACTGCAGGCCTTACTGATAGAATAAACAGTCAATGCTTATTTTACATGTTATATGTTTTATATACTGTGTTCTTATAATAAAGTAAACCAGAGAAAAGAAAATATTATTAAGAAAATCATAACAAAGAGAAAATACATTTATAGTATTGTACTGTATCCCCCAAAAAATCCTTAGATAAGTGGAGCTGTTGCTGTTGAAACCCGTGTTGTTCAAGCGTCGCCTATACTCTACACCCCTCTTAAGGCATTCAGCATACGTTATCTACTTTGTGCTGTCCTTGAACATTTGCCTTACTCTTCCTGGTAAAAGCGAGGTTCGTTGAAAATACGGGCTCTGCCCTTGCACATAGTAGGCACGCATTGGAGTTACTGGATTTGGGGAATGGAATTAATAAACTAATCATAACATGGCATGTCCACACAGTGTTCCATTACACAACAAGAATGAAAACCTAAGCATTTCAACTTTCAGTCACTTGAAATAAGCCTTTCCTTCCTGGATAAAAGATTAGTGGACATGTATGGGCTGTTAAAATTTATATATGCAAAAAAGTTCACAGTTATTTTCTTTGCATTTCACGGAGAGGGAGAGCAGGGAAATTATGGAAATATATAGTAGAATATCCTTGGGAGAGAGGAGCCTTCTACAACCTGCCTAAGAGCAAAGAAGACAGAAAATTAAAACCGAGTGTCCAGACAACAAGTTTCCTTTCTTTCAGAAACACATCAAGAAGCCAAAGCTGGACTCTATGCTGAAAATAGAAGAAACACAAATGAAAAGGTAGCACTGCTTCTGGGTATGGGAGGGGCCCCATCCTGCTGCAAGGCTAGTCGGTTTGTACGCCGGGCGGCTCCAACCACGGAAGTCCAGGCTAGGAAGAGCTGACAGTTCCGATCAGAGAAAGAAGCATGTAAAGCTGAAGTCCTCACAGGCGGGAACAGGAAAGCCAGGCTTGCCAGCTGCTAGGAAATAAGGAAGATCAAGGGGCCCAGCGTCCACTCTGGATGATCCACTGTAACTCTCTTCCCATTTTGTGAAAGAGGAAACTAAAATGCAGAGAAGTGCCTTGCTCAAGACCGTCCACTTAATCTGTTCCTTGAACTGGTACCCTCAGAGCATGAACTCAAGACCGAGTTCTGCCATGAAGGAGGAATGGGTTGATAGTAAGTCACTAATCTTTCTACGCCTGTTTTCTTTTCTATGTATGAGGGTTGTTAGGAGGGTTAGATGAGGTGATCCTTCTAGAATGCTCGCCACTCAAAATTTTGCTATTGTTCTTAATCGCCTTGTAGAATTTAAAAAAAAATATATTGTTTATTGATTTTTGAGAGAGAGAGAGTGAGTGGGAGGGGGAGAGAGAGAGATGGAGACAGAATCTGAAGCAGGCTCTAGGCTCTGAGCTATCAGCACAGAGCCCAACTCAGGGCTCTGACCCATGAACTGTGAGATCATGACCTGAGCCGAAGTCGGATGCTTAACTGACTGAGCCACCCAGGCGCCCCTCATCAAAGAGGATTTAATAAAATACTACCTAAAGCTGGAGCACCTGAAAGGCTCAGGCAGTTGAGTGTCTGACTTTGGCTCAGGTCATGATCTCACAGTTTGTGAGTTCAAGCCCCACATCAGCGCAGAGCCCACTTCAGATCCTCTGCCCCTCTCCCACTTGCTCTCTCAAAAATAAATAAAAATAAAATGCTGTGTAAGGCTGAATTTTCCAGTACAGTAACCACTAGCTACGTGTGGCTACTGAGTGCGTGAAATGTGGCTAATCCAAACTGAAATATATAACTGTTAAAACCCACATTAGATCTCAAAAGCAGCACACAAAAATGCAGCGTCTCATTAATAAT